AGTCAGGGACCCTTGGGGCACAGGCCAACGGGTTTTCTGGCTTTTGTAAATTTGGGTCCAACTCATAGAAAATGTCTTCCTGCGAGTTATTCTTAGTATCTTAATGCGGCTTTTATGGCTTCGCAAAGGGCCTTGGCTGCTCTTTGTTCTGGGAAGCCATGGTGATTCGGGATGAGCGGCTGAAGTAACCCAGCCCATCCATTTGCACAAAACCCAAAGACTGATTTTTAAAAGGAAAGTGGCCCTTTAAAAATACACATAAACAACACCCCGGGAGTCGCCCGCAGTCCGCGTCCAGGTGACGACTTCCAAGCTCGGTCCCCCTGCTCCACAGCTCCAACCAGGCAAGGGTTGAGCTGTCCCCTCTGGGTGTGGGCAAGGCCGGGCCGGCTCCTGGCCCTGAGTTTTACCTGTCCTGAACGCAGGGGCTGGCTGAGTTTGGGTTGGGTCTGTATTCCCTCAGCCCCTGGGTAGAGAGAGAGGGGGCAGCTGTGCTTCCCCCAAGTCCTAGTAGCAGGGTTGTCCCCCCCCCCCCCCATCTAATCACTCACCAGATATATACAGAGTTCTGCTATGTGCCAGGCGCCCTGGTGCACTTCCCCGTGTACCACGATGCTCTCCTTACGGTCAGGAAGCTACGGTGCACACGTACAGGACCTCCCAAAGATCCTGACCCAGGTCTGCGCCACTCCTGAGACCTGCTCTTGACTTTCCCAAAGGGGTCTGTCTGGCCAGGGCACTGTCCCTCTCCCTGACGGAGGCTGACCTCCCGGCTAATGACCCAGACCTTGTGCTGGGCTGCAGGGCGGGAGCAGGAGCCCCTGGGAGGCCGGGAGGTGCCAGGGACGTGGCTAGGGCCTGTGCATTGGGACATGCCAGCACACAGCTTCAGTGCCCACACGTGGCCGTCTCCTGGTCACCCCTCTCCTAACAGACCGGGAGAGGAAGAATCAGCTCCTAGCCATGGGGTGGAACGACCCGTGGGAGACCCTTCTTCCCCAGCCTCTCCCTGCTCTGGGGGCCTCCACTGGACACTGGCCCAGGGACACCACACCTTGTACTTCACAGAGGGAAGGCGATCACGTCACTCTGATGGTCACACAGCTCCGTCTCTGCTAGCTGACCCTCGGATCCACATGGCCTGGGGTCAAGCCGGCTGGGGTCCACCCAAGGCAGCGTGGTCACCGCAGGTTGGGAAATTCACAGTGCCTGGCACCGCTGAGGTCTCAGGCATCCCCGCTCCATTTCCAGAGTCTGTGCAGTTTTCCCAGGACCCTGGACCCAGGCCGCCACCCAGGAACGGCGGCCCCACTCAGGCCAGGGATGAGGACGGCTGCGGCCATGTGGCTGCCTCTCACCAGCCTGGGGCTCAGGCAGAGGGACTCTGAAACTCCCAGGTCCTCGTCCTCAGCGCCTTCCTGCCCTGCCCCCGGGGCTCCTCCAGCTAGAGGTGTCAACCGGGAAGGCACAAAATGGCCCAGGGCTGTACCCGCGGGGTCCTCGGCGTCCAGAGCCGCGCTCCAAGGAGGTAGGGAGCAGCCGGCAGGGGCTGCATGGCCCTAAGAGGAGCGGCAAGGGGGGCTCAGGAGAGACTGGGGCCTCCGTGGGACGGGGGAGGCCCCAACTCCTGCCCCGTTTTCCTTCTTACGGCTTCCCCAGCCACCGCCGGGTCTCTTACAGCGCAGGTGGAGCAAAGGGGAGGCAGATCGGGGCCTCGAGGTGCGAGCCTCAGCACAACCCGGATCAGCCGCCGGAGCCGCGGGTCCGAGGGCGCCCAGGGCCTGGAGCTCGCGGGCCTAGCCAGCTCTGCCAGGGACCCGGCCCGGAGAGCCGGACAAAGGGCAAGGAATGGGCCCTCTGCGGGGCGGGGCGGGAGACACGCAGGGAGGGAACGCACGCATGGAGGGGAAGAAGCGGATGGGGGCCGAGCTTGTGGGCTCAGCAAACCTGCCCCAGATTAGAGGGGGCCGCCCGGCTCCACCGTTTGCCCAGCGAGAGCGCCGATGCGGCGCAGGCCCCTCGCCTCGGCGCCAGCCCAGCTCAACACTGGGGGTGCAGGCTGCCACCCGGAAAGCGGCGCGGGATCCGGTGCCGAGAATCTACAGAGTCCGGGCAGACACGTCCTCCCGAGCTGAGACCCAGCCTTCGGGGGTGTCGGGGGAACGCTACGCGGGCCGCGGTCAGCAGTTTCTGCTGGGCCCTGAGCGCCCGCCCCAGGATCTGGGGAACTTCGGAGGCCAGGCTGTGGGTGTCCCCATTCAGCCGAAAGGAGAGGGAAAAGCCGGCACCGGAGCAGGGGTAGGGGGGCACAGTGGAAGTAGGGCGAGGGGGCTGGAACGCGGCACGGGGAGCTGCTGGGGTACAGCTGGGTCTGCGGGGCCTGTGACCAGAGGAAGGCTCTCGCGTGCGAACTGAGGGAGTCGGTGCGGGTCTGGGCCTGGAACGAAGACCCTGGTCTGCAAGCCGTAGCCCTGCCGAGGCTGCAGACACGCACCGCGCCCAGCAGAGGGCAGAAGGCACCCGGTCCGCTCGCCGGCCCCGCGCTGGGCTCCGCGGGCCGCAGCCTTGCCCGCCCGGCTTCTCCCCGAAACGGCAGCGGCCGCGCCCCCCGCCCCGAATACCCGGAGACCCCGCGCAGGCCCAGGTCCAACCTCGCCGGCTCAAAGCCTGGAGTGTGCAAGCTGAGCAAACACAGCGGGCCAAAGAGTGTAGGAGGAACCCCACAGGCACTCACGCACCCTCCGGGTTCCAGACACACAAAGGCGCCGAGAAACACACGGAGACACAAAGACGCACAAGACACACCTCTGGGAGACACGCAGGCACAGGCTCACTCAGGGACCCGGAGGCACACAGACACGCACAGGTGACCTGGCGACGCGCGCACACCAGAAAGGTCCCCGGACACGGGACAGAGGCTGGCACACAAAGCCTGCGGCACCACGCAGCGACAGACACACAAAGACGTCCCAACACCTGGACCCAGGCAGGCACGAACGCACGGATGCGGGGCAGTCGGACGCGGCTTCACAGATGCACGCGGCCGGAGCCCAGAAAGTGTCGGGAACGCAGAAGCACCGAGCGCGCAGAGCCGCGGTGCACGCATCCCGGCGCCCCGGAGGCGGGCGCGCCGACACGCACAGACACACACAGATACCCACCGGCACACACGCAGGTACTGGGGTGGGGCGGGAGCCTCTAATCCTCCACAAAGCCGGGCCCCGCTGTGGGGCCCCGCGGCACAGGGGGCCACTTCTGACCCAGCCTCCCGCGGGCTTCAAATCCGATCCGCCCTCTCGCCTCCAGCGGGGTCAGGGGACCCGCCTCCCATGCCCTCCGCCCCCGCCCCGCTCCGCGCCGCTGCTCCGCTCCTGGAGGGGCCGGGGCCGCCCCGCCGCGGCTCACGGGGGTCAGCCCGCGCCTGCCCGGGGCCGCGTCTACCCTCCCGCTCCCGGCAACACCGGCTCCTCGGTGGGGACCCGGGGGCCCGCAGCCGCAGCCGGCCCGGGGCGCAGCGTCCTGCAGCCCAAGGCAGGGGGCCGGGCCCGGCTGGCGCCCGGGGTCTGCACCTCGGCCTCTCCCCAGGCTCGCCAAGGCACCGTCCTTGGCCAGCGCTGTCCCTACCGTCCCCTGGCCGGGTTCTTCGGCTGCCAACAGGCGCCCGTCAGCGCGGCCAACCGGATCTCCTTTGGAGCGGCCGAAGGCTCCCGCCGCCGCCCCGGGCCTCCAGCCGCAGACCCTGGGGCCGCCGCCCCCTCGCCGCGCCCCTCACTCCACAGCCCCGCAGCACCGGTTCTCGCCCCCTTGCCCCTCTCCCAGCCTGGAACTTCCCGTCGTCTGAGCCTGGGCCTGCCCGATGCCCCGCGTTCTGGATCCGGGGGCCCGCACCCCCTCCAGTTCGCTCCCCGGCCCGATCTCCGCCAGGCCCAAAGATTTCCCGGACCCCAGTCCCTGGGCCGCCGCCCCGTCCCGCGAGTCTGGGGCCCGCAGTCCTCGCCCGGCCCCTCAGGCCCCGGCAGCCAGCGCTCTCCGCGGGGGCCGCCGCCCCAGCCCCCGCGACCTACCTCGGCCGACGGTCGGGGTCCCCGGGCGGAGCCGCTGCGCACCCCGCCGTCCGCGCAGTCGGGCCTCGCTCGGGGCCACTCCTCTTAGCGCGGCAGCTTTTTACAAAATATTAATAATAAAGAAGGCACGGGAGGAAAAAGAAAGCCTTCGCTCCCCAACTCCCAAATCAATTTTTCCAGGGGGGGGGCAGAGGGATTTGTTTCGGAGGCGACCCGGACTTGTGCGAGGACCGGCGGGCCGGCCGGCGCGTCCCGGGCGCTGGGGCCCGCTCGCGGGGCCGGGCGCGGCGCGGGGCGCAGGCCCGGGGCGCGCGGGGCCGGGCGCGGGGTAGGGGGGGGTGGGGGGCGGCGCGGCACTATTTGACGTGGGGCGGCTGGCGCGTCCCGGCGCAGGGATACGAGGCGCGCCAATGAGTTCAAATGTCAGGAAGTTTGGGAGGGTGAGGCGGCCCCGGCCGGGGTATCCCTCCGCCGCCAGCCCCAGCTCTAAACCGAGCGGCCCGGCGGGCGCACCATGGCACTGGAGTAGTGCGGGGAGCGCTCCCGCAGCCCGCGGCCCGCTGCGCCCCGCCCGGGACCCCGCTGCGCCGCCCGCGCCCCCCCAGTCCGCAGGGCCGCCCCCGCGCCCGCCCCTCCCCCGCCCGCGCCGCCACCGCCGCCGCCACCGCCGCGGCCGCCGCCTCCTCCCGTGGCTCGATCCGCGCCGCCGCTGCCGCCGCCGGGCTCCGGCGCTAACAGGCAGGTGACAGAGGAGCCGCGCGTGGCTGCGAGTGCCCGCAGAGCGCGGCGCGGGTGCAGCTGCCCCGGCCCGCCCGCCGCCGGGGCCCGGGGCCAGCGCGCCGCCGCTGCACGCTCGCCGGGGGCAGCGGGCGGCCCCAGCCCCAGCCCCGCGGGGGCCGTGCCTTGCCGGCTCCAGGGCCGCGGCGGGCGGCGGGCGGCGGGCGGCGGGCGGCGGGCGAGGGAGCAGCCCGGCCGGCGTGGTCCGCAGCGCGCCCCGCGTCCCATGGATATAGCAACAGGTCCCGAGTCGCTGGAGAGGTGCTTCCCTCGCGGGCAGACGGACTGCGCCAAGATGCTGGACGGGATCAAGATGGAAGAACACGCGCTGCGCCCCGGACCTGCCACTCTTGGGGTGCTGCTGGGTGAGTGCGGGGTGGGGAGCTCGGAGGGTTACGGGCAGGTGGCACAGGCGTTGGCGGATAAAGGAAATGTGTTTTTGCAAGAGGACCCGGTGTAGGGGCGCAGAGGCGGGATTCCTGGAGTGACCGCCCGGACAGGCATCCTGGGGGGAGTACAGGTGTGCAGGGACACCCGCCCGCAGGCGAGGGGTCAGGACAGTTAGAGCCGCCGCCTGCCATCCTCTGCGGGGCCCCGGTCTAGAGTGACCGCTCCTGGCGGGGGAGGGGGCAGCTGGCAGGGGCGATGGGGGACCAAGCGGCCACCTGGGCGAGCCTCGGAAAGGTGCCAGGGCACCTGGGGAGGGGGAGCCGCTGGCAGGAAAATGTCCCGCGGGCTGCCCACACCGCCGATTCGGGGGCGATGAGGACACGGAGGACCGCGACCGGGGCCGTGGGGCGTGTCAGCCAGCGAGCGCCGCAACCTCCGCCCGTCTGCCTGGGTCCCCAGCCGGGCTCCTGGCCGTTTCCATGAACGCCCAGCGCCGGCTCCCCGGAGAAGCGGAGAGCGCAGCGGCCGGCCAGCACCCGAGGCCACAGCCTCTCAGCGCCGGAGCCCGCGCGCGCGGGGACGAACTGCCCGGGGCTGTCCGACCCCTGGCGAGGCGGCCAGCGTTCCCGGGCCGCCCTCGCCCTCGGGTCCGGCGACCTCGGGCGCCGCGCGCCGGGGACGCCGGGGCTGGCCCGCGCGGCGCTGACGACCGGGCTGTCGCCCTGTGCGCTGCAGGCTCGGACTGCCCGCATCCCGCCGTGTGCGAGGGCTGCCAGCGGCCCATCTCCGACCGCTTCCTGATGAGAGTGAACGAGTCCTCCTGGCACGAGGAGTGTCTGCAGTGCGCGGCGTGTCAGCAAGCCCTCACCACCAGCTGCTACTTCCGGGATCGGAAACTCTACTGCAAACAAGACTACCAACAGTAAGCGCCTCTCGTCCTCCCCTTCCCCGCCGCCGCCACCCGGCCCTGGAGCCCGGGCCGGCCCCCTGCCAGGCAGGGGCCGCTGCGAGGGCCGTGCGGGCTGCGCCACTCCGGCTGCAGCGTCCTGGTCCGTGGCTGCTCCTTGCCATCTGTTGTCCCGGAAACCTGCGCTGCGCCCTGAGTTGGGGAGCGAGTCAAAGCCGTGGGCCGACAGGGTGCCTGGGTCTCGCTGAGGCCTGACTTGGGGACCACGACTTGACTTCTAAAGGAAACTGGTGCTGTAGGGAGCCAGGCCGGGCGTTTGCACCTCTCCAGCCCAGGTACCCCAGGGCGGAGGCACAGTGCAGGGCTCTGAGGAGCCCAGGCAGCAGGGAGCCCCCACCCCAGCGGGCCGCCTGCTGCCCGCGGTCCCTGGTGGAGAGAGAGGGGTGTCTCCTTCCTTGAGACCGTTCCATGCATCTCTGGAGATGGCCAGACTCGCACTCGGGAGTTGGGAGTGGTCTGCGTTTCCCTCCACCGGAGGCCTCCTTTCCTGCTGCCTGCTGGGCGAGGACCCTGGTGTAGGCCAGAGCCCGTGAGCTGATCACTGCGTGCTGACTTTTGTCTTTAGCTGTGATGATGGTTTTGTGTGGCTCGGGCGCCCGGGACGGATCAGAGTAGGCGCAGGCCTTTTGTTTTGACCTGCTAGGTCGTGTGCCTGGCCGCGTGAGGCGGCAGCCGAGCAGGGTTGCAGGGATTCCAGGAGTGGTGCTGCAGACAAGCGGGGGCCTGGGAGAACCTTTTGGGGGTGCCCAGAAAGCAGGCGTGGATGGGGCTGCAGCGTGGGGAAGCTGCTCAGTGGTTGAGACTGGGAGAACTGTGTGTGCCCACGCTTTGGGGAAAGGCTGGTGCCTAGGGGTGAGTGCAGCGTACCTGCTGTGCCCAGAGATGTGCCTGCTCTGCCCAGAGATCGCAAGTCCGGGGCCTGACTGCTTCACTGGGGCCTGGAGGTCGGGGGGCTGCAGGCTGGAGTCCTGGAAGGGGCTTTGGGTTCTATCCCTATAGGCTCTGGTCCTGCCCTCCCAGGCTGGGGAGGGACAGGAGCTGCTTTTTGTGCCTTGTTCTTCCTGCTGGCTGGGGGCTCTGCGGGTAGGAGTTGGGGGTCGGTTCCACGGGTCAGCTCTTCTGCTGGCCCCAGAGCGTAGCTGAGGCCGCCCGCTGAGTGTGGAGCACCCCGGGCTCTTGTTGATTTGGGCTCTTGCTGCACGCTGAACCCATCAGCTGCAGCAGGACATGAAAAATTGGGGATGCCGGTTTGGGGGGACAAAAGTGTTTGGGGGCTTTGGGTCAGTCCAGGGAGCACCTCCCTGAGGTGCACCAGCCTCCAACCATCCACGCCCTGCGCTCTTGGCTTCCTGGAGCTGAGCTCGGTCCGGCAGTGTCACTCACCGGCCTCAAGGACTCAACACGTGGGGGCGGGAAGCCTGGAAAACTGGAAATGGGCTCCTGAGTCATCTGTGTGATTAAGAAAAAAAATTTTTAAGTGCGTTGGAAAGACTCTTCAACCTCACCCACCGTAGCCGTCGTCTTACAGAGCCCCTCTTTAAAAGAGGGAAGGGCGGCCCCTGGTTCTCCAGACCCAGAACCCTCAAGTCCCCACATTTCAGCCGGATGTCGCCTTGGAAATGAACGACTAACCCACTCATTTCACAAAACAAAACGTTTTCGACTGCGTTGTCCAGAGTGCATTTGTTTTAAAAAGGAAAGGAGAAGGTCGCGCGGGAGCCCGCTGCCTCCCGCCCAGTCAGGGTGTCCGGAATGAATCCTGGTGCCCTCCAGTTCCAGTCTGGGTCCAGCCGGGCTGGAGCCTCTTGGGGGGCACCATTCTCTCAGCCCACAGTCGCCTCCTCCTCCTCCCCTGTCCCCTCTTTCTTCCAATAATGCCAATTAGGTATCTGCACCAGGCGGGCCTCGAGGCTGTGCTGGGGGCAGGGGGCGGGGGGCGGGGTGGGTTGTTGTCAAGACAATCCCGGGACAAATACCCCGCAGGTCTCGAATCAGCGTTTCCCGGGGAGAGCGAGGCGGAGGAGCAGGCGGGACCTCTTTGGGAAGCAGTGTTCTCTCTGCACAATGAAAATATCTTTTTATTCACAAATCCCTTTTTTCCTTTGTGAAGCGCAAATGCATATTTATTTCATCTGCTCGCAAATGCTTTTCAGACGAGGATCCAGGCAAGCGGGCGCGGAAACGTGCCTTCTCGATCTTGCCGGCTCTGCGGCAGCCGTATTGGGAAATTAACACCCCCCCACCATAACTTTTGAAGACGTTGTCCTCGGCCCGCAGAGGAGCGGCCGGCTTCGGTCCTTGCACAGAGGTTGCCATTTTTAGCGAGCGTCTCCTCCTTCTTTCGATTTGTTCTCCAAGACCCCGGGCGCCCAGACGTGCAGAGTTACTTTACGCACCACGGGGGTGATTTGTAGCACCCGCTGAAGCCCAGCGGGGCGTGCTGGCCGAGCAGAGCCGAGCGCGGGCCACGGCTCTTCTGCTCCTGGCTGGGACTCGGAAGCAGCCTCGGCCCCTGTGCAGACAGAGAGCCTGCTCGGAAGCCGAGGGCAAGCGCAAAAGCACGGACGCCGCTTTCTGCCGTCCACTGGAGAACCCCCTTTTTTTTTTAATTATTAACAAACAAAAAATGCCAACATGCCCCCCTCGCACTATTTTTTTCCCCTTGGCGGTTTGGCCCGAGAGAATTATGTAACGCTCCCTCCTCGCCGGTCTGCCTCTCGTCTGGAAAGGGTTTCTATCCTGAGGAGGTGGCCAATTCCTGGAGGAGGCTCCGGAAAGGGGGAGAGTCCAAAAATCTGTCACAAAATGGAGTCTAATCACTTGTAAGACAGCTCCGAGGTCTGGTGTGCGAGCCGCAGCCTTTGTGCGTCGCCAGACGCGGGGTGGCTGCCGGGGCGGTGCTGCCACCTCGGCGTCCCAGGCTCGGGAAGGCTGCCGGCGGCTCCTGCCTCTGGGCTGCCCCAGACTCCCCGGGCGGCCCTGCCCAGGTAGGATGCGCCCATCCCGGCCGGCCGGAAGGGGACAGCCAGCCTTTGATCAAGCTTCACAAAAAGCCCTCTGAGTCCCCGGGGTGATTTTTTTTTTTTTAAATTTTCCCCCAGCTGGCTGCGGTGCGCTTCCCGGCACATTCCTTTCCTTAGAAGTGTTTACACCGGGAAGGGCCTCCTCTCCCGCAGCACCGTGGCCCAGGAGGGAGCAGAGCCAGCTCCCAGCCTTCCCCCCGCCAGCAGGGAAGGCCTCCCACGGGCCTGGCGGCAGGGTGCCACCTACCAGCTGCCTCCTTTTCCCCAGCGAGGGCCCCAGCCTGCACAGCTCCCCACTGGTGCCCCTGCCACAGCCCCGGGGAGAGGGCCCTTCCTGGAAACCCCGTCTGCCTCGCAGGAGGAACCAGGACTTTGCCTCCCGGGGTGCCTGCCCTGGGAGCTCTAGGGCTCGCTCCGCCAGCCTGGCTCCGGAGAGTCCTGGACCCCTCAGAGGCGCCTCCCCATGCACCCCCCGCACCTGCCACACGCAGGCCGACCCTGCTGCTGAGCAAACGCGGTTTTCCTACTCCTGGGCTGCTGCGACCTTATTTGTTTCCCGGATTATTCTCAAGTCGGGGAAGCTGTGGGGGTCTCCGAGGGAGTGTGATTGGTGGCTCTCAGCCCTCCCCCCACCGACCCCCGCCCGGTGCATGGTGCATCAGAGCCCTGGCATCCACCTGATTCTCTTCTCTACAAGGAGGACCTGTCCACCTGGGGGAAGCACTCTTATAAGGGCTCCCAATAAGGCACCCCAAAGGGCCTGGCACCCTGCCTGGCGTGTTGTTAAAGCCCTGGAAATCATCGCTGTGTCTGTTATCACCCTCCGCGTGGCAGGGTACGCGCCAGACTGCCAACAGGTCCTGTCCTGAGGACAGCTGGCCTGCTGGGCTTGCCTTGCCACACGCCTGCTCCACGCCAGGCAGGACAAGGGCTATGAGGGTCTTTGCTTTGCCTGAGCTGGACATGGGCAGGGTCCTGCTTGCCTTGGCTGTGAAAAGCACCTTAGACCCTGAGTCAGACCTGGGTTCACCTCCCTGCCCCCCCCCCGTGTGTGATCTCAGCCAAGAGGCTTCCGTTCTGAGCCCCCCACTTCGCCTTCAGCCAACTAGGGGGGTGATGGTATCCCTCGGAGGATTACCGGCGCACCTGGTGGAGTCTTAGTGAATGTTCCAGTCTCCTAGGGATCCGTCAGTCATCCTTCTGACCTTGCGGGAAGGCGGAGGTGCCAAGTACACTTTGTCAGGGAGCGCAGGTACGGGGCGGGGGGCAGCCGTGTTATGCTGGGAAGCCGTCGGTGTGGCCGAGGTCTCCGGATGGCTTGGAGAAAACCATTCTCAGTAATACAGTTTCATATTTGAAGAACCGTGCGTGCTGGTTTTTGTGATTCGAATGACAGAAGATAGAACTCAACGCACATCTGTGGCTGCCAGTGGGCTTAGGAAGAGGGTGTGTGAGCGGGGCGAGGAGATCCAGGGGTCTGTGCAGCTCGGAGAAAGATGAGGTTTAAAAAGAAACCATTCCAGGACGTCGGGTGGAGGGCCCTCCGGCTCAGCCTCCGTGGCCTGGTGAGGTTTTTGCCAGTGGTGGGCTGGAAGTGCATGGCCAAAGAGCCGCCTCTTGTCCTGTGGCTGTGTAGGTTTTTAGAGAAGAAGGAGCGGGGGTGGGGAAGCAGCCGTGCTTTGGCACCAGTTAGGGAGAAGGAAGGAGGATGCTCTCGGTGACATGAGTTATAACTTCCAATTTGCTGGACACCACCGGCAGGCCTCGGCTCGGGGGCGGGAGCAAGGGAGGGATGGTCCGCTCACCCAGGCCGCTGCGTGTGCCCTGTCAGTCACGCCGGTGCCAGCGGCCCAGAGCCCGTGGCTTTCTGGCTGACCCAGCCGGAAGTTCCTGCAGCCCTCTCCAACCCGAGATTCTGTGCTGATGGCAGCA